GGCTCTCTCCAAGGTGCTGGAGACTCTGAACAGAACTAAGCACTTTTTGGTGAGGATCACAATCTAGACAGAGAGATGGACACACACAAAAAACAGCAACGCTCACAGTACAGGGACCTTTTCATACTCTCTTAGTTTATGTTTACCTGGTATCCCTAACCACCACCCTTACCACATTGTACTGCCAGCTGTCTTTATACCCCATTTACCGGTATATTCCTTGCCTCCCCCCATCTGCTATATCCCCAGTACCTTCTACAGTGGCTGGTGCATAGGAGAATCTCAATAAATGTGATGAAAAGTTCAATAAAAGTCTTTGTTATTAATATTTTGTGTCTTCAAGTTAATTCCAATTCACAAACACTCTAAATGACAGAGTAGAACTGCCCCATAGGAATTCCCAGGCTGTCCCTTGGAAACCCTATATAGGGTTGCTATGAGTCGGAACCAACTCGACAGCACTCTACAATAACAACAACAACGTTTATAGGAGCAGAAAACCTTCTCTCATGTGGAGCTGCTGGTTGGTTAGAACTGTTGACCTTTCAGTCAGCAGCTGAGTGCTTAAACTATTGAGTCATCGGGGCGCTTTGGCATTAATGTTAAGTGCCGTCAAGTCGGTCCCGACTCACAGCGACCCTGTATAGGGCTTCCGAGGAGTGGCTGGTGAGTTTGAACTGCTAACCTTGCAGTTAGCAGTCTAGTGCTTATCTTACAGTGCTACACCGGGATATAGGATTAGTAAATTCTTATAATAACAAAAAAAAAATTGGTGTCTACATAGAGTTCCTGAAGATTCCGCTGGAAAAACACTTGTGCTATTTCCAAAACAGTATTGGTGAACCTGGGGAATTATAGAAAACAGGAAAGGAAAACAAAACAAGTTTTAAGATGTAAGAATCAATGCGAGCAGCCCTGGTGGTGCAGTGGTTAAGTGCTTGGTTGCTAAACAGAAGGTTGGTGGTTTGAATCCCCCATCTGCTGTTTGGGAGGAAGACGTGGCAGTCTGCCTCCGTAAAGACTACAGTCTTGGAAACGCTATGGGCCAGAATCGACTGGACAGTAATAGATGAAAATAAATGTAAAAATTAAAACTGAAACATAGGGGCAAAAAACTCACAGTGTCACCCCCACCCCCACCCCTCCAAGGACGTCCTCCATATCAGACCACAGAGAGTTCTCAGTAACGGTTATTGTCAATTTTCATCACAGAATAACAGTGGTGTAGTTATAAATTGCTCAAATGTTAATATTTCTTAGATTACACAGATATTAATAACAAAACTGATCTGTAAAATCTTTCTGTATAATTGAGTGGAAGCCTTTGTTGCTCTTTCTCCTTTACCTTTAATTACTACTTCTTTCTCAAAAGACTTTTTAGTGGAGATTCCCAAACACTATTTATCACAATATGGTAGTGAAAATATCAGAAAATCTGACAAAGTCAGCAGCTATAAAAACGCCGGCAGTAACAGAAACAACTGCGCATACTCAGGGTGTTCCTACGACAGCTCTGAACACAGCATAATACAAGGTCCAAAGCGTAAATAGCACTGAGGCTTGCCTTCTAGGCACACTGATCCATGCAAACTGGGCTTGCGAAAAAGGTTTCTGTTTTTATAACTAACTTATACGGGTATTTTTATTTAAAAGAATACATTTTTGCTGAAAAATGTATTCACGATTTTACAGACAGCCATTTTGGTGTTGGAGTCCTGGTGTGCCACTGTAGGATCAACACTAGACTGCAAGGTCAGTTAGAACCTCAAACCCACCAGCTGCTCCTTGGAAACCCTATACAGGGTAGTTATGGGTCAGACCAACTCCACAGCACTTAACAACAACAACAACAGAGTCCCCTGGTGTGGCACTGTAGGATAAGCACTCAACCGCGAGGTTGGTTTAAACCACAAGGTTGACAATTCAACCCCACCAGCCAGTCCTCAGAAGCCTATACAGGGTGGCTATGAGTCAGAACCGACTCGATGAGACTTACAACAACAACAATTCTGGTGTCACCCCCTGACAGTGTCACCTGGTGTGGTCCACACCTCCCGTATCCTCCTCGGACGCTACTGCCCTAACACTAATTTCTCAGTTATGATTTTTATAAAACAAAGTTTCCAAGATGAGCCAGCCCTTTTCAGAAATTCATCTGGTCATAAACTTGATGGTGACTAAACTTACATTTACATTTGGCAACTTGGAAGGCCCACACCTCCACCCAGCGGAGATGTACCACACACCATATTGCTCCTTGTAGGGTGAGCTCATAGGATTACTTCAGTGTTTAAAAATAAGTTCTCTGTTTCTTAACATCAGTCATGTATCTGGGGACCCTGTAGTCATTTACCCAGGAGCAAGTGATGCCCCAGCAGACAGTCACTGTGAACTCATACAGCTGGCTGTGGGCTAGATGCTGGTGACAGATGTGCACAGGACTTGTTCTTATCCTCAGGAAACTCACACTGGGCACACATCTCATCACCTTATCACATGATTTAGTTAGGAGATCCCAAAGACTAGAGCAACTGGCTCGCTGGGGAAGGCTTCACTGAGGAGCTGCCGTTTGAGTTGATGTGGGAGGGTCAGTAGAAACCACCCAGGTGACTCTTGGGTGATGGGCACTCAAGGTACAAAAAGCGTGTGCAAAGGTTCAGACAACACTTAAGGCCACGATGAGACGCTACAAACGCCTGGACCCCATGGAAGGAACTAGGCGACACTAGTCCTGAAGGCTCGTGAATGCCTCAGCAAACAGGTTACTTCCTTGTCTACGTCTTATTATAAAGTATTTGCACACATTAGGGAAATCAGCATTGTTGTTGTTAAATCCCGTCAAGTCGTCTCTGACTCATAGCAACCCTGTATAGGGTTCCAAGGAGTAGCTGGTGAGTTTGAACTGCTGACCTTATGGTTAGCAGTCAGTGCTTAACCTACAGCACCACACTTTGGTGGTAGTGGTTACGTGCTATGGAGTCAGTTCTGACCCATAGCGACCCTGTGTAGGGTTTCCGAGGCTGTAAATCTTTACAGAAGCAGAAAGCCTTATCTTTCTCCCACGGAACGGCTGGTAGTTTCGAACTGCTGACCTTGAAGTTAGCAGCCCAACTCATAATCACTATGCTACCAGAGCTCCTTGCACCACACTTTAGAGAGATATAAAATAACTTGGATAGAGTATTTTAATTTAAAGTATGTTGCATTATAACAATATTACCTTTAAACATTTTTTAAAGACATTCTTGACTGGGTACTTCTTGGTACTAAACAGAGGACTAATTTATTGGTTAAGAAACATTTGTTGGGTGTCTGACACAGTGAGTTCATTTTTGAGCTTCTAATCTTGCCTGTCATGACATCACACACAAATTCACTTTAAAATGTAAGAGAATTAAATGGACCCCTTGGATTTTGATTGGTTTGTGAAAAATACTTCTTAAACTTCTGAGGATATTCCATGAAAAGGAAATCTGATTATGTAAGACATGTGCTTCTATGGAACGTTCTCCAGTATTTTGACTGATTTCAGAAGATGGATAGAATGGGAAGTCCATGCTAGGTTCGTCAGGGGACAGGACTGCAGAATCCATGTAAGTGATGAAATCAAATTTCTACAAGACTTGCAAAGAAATGCTAGAGGAGCAACTGAGGAAAAGACCCGTCTGTCAGGAAGACAAAGGGGAAGAAGCAACAGCTCTGGGCCAGCTTGGACCCAACAGATCTAAGTTGTGGAAGTCACAGTAGAGACTGAGCACTTACTTACTGCAAAAGATGAAATACTGAGGCACCATGTAGGAAAAGACATTAATTCCTCTACTGTCTCCTGCACCTTAATTCAGCACTCAGCTGGCTTCTGAAAGGCCAAGGGAACTCAAGATGGTTTTGAATATCAGGATCAAGAACTACATCAGGAGTTAAGGTTCGAAGGCACACGTTAAAGCATCTGAGCCATCACAGCTAAGAACCAACGCGTCACAGTTGCTCTGGGTCATCCGACTTGCCACAGATTCTTTTTTTGGTCCTTTCAGCTACTGTGAAGTTCTAGCTGACAGGCAGGGCAAGCAGACGTGGGTGAAACTCAGATTGGTGAGAGGTGCTGCCAGCCCACCTCTAGGTGGTGGGCGGACGTGGAAGCTACTGACTAAAATAAGATTTTGGGGCTCTCTGCTGACTCCATCTCTTTCCTCTTAAATGATTACTTCAGGCTAAAATTTAAAAAGAACCAACCAACTAAACAAAGAACTTTCTGCTGTTACAGACGGTACCCAGAACATGCAGGCTCACTCTACAAATGTAAAGGTAAATTCCCTGGAAACAAGTACTACCAAATGCAGCAATGTATCACTAAGGAAGCCTGGTTACGCTGTTAAGTGCTGTTGAGCCAGTTCTGACTCGTAGGGACCCTGCATAGGGTTTCTGTGGAGCTGGTGGTGGGTTTGAACTGCCGACCTTGTGGTTCGCAGTTCTGTGCTGACTCTATATCACCTACAGTGTCTTATTTTGCCTCATAACGAGAGAACAAACCACTTTACTTGCAAGGAACGAAACACTTTACTTGCTGTGACCAAAGCAATGCAATACAATTTGACACGTGTAGCCTGAAGATTCTCAGAAACACATGCCTCATCCTCCTCATTCCGAATATTTGTGTTTCATTTAAAAGTAAACAAATATCAGAGTCCTGGGGTGAAGAAATATGAAAATCTTGGGCATCTCACATAGTCAATATTCAGATATAACCCCAAAGTCCTGGAGAAGTGAAACACTTATCAAACTATAAGAATACCCTTAATAGTTTTCCCATCTGAGACAGCAGACACATAGATCTGAAACAGTGCTTAGAGAAGCCCACAGAGATTTAGGCTCCCAAGTGCCCACCTCCCCCATCCCTCCACGACCCCAACACTGGCGGGGGAAGAGCAATAATGCAGTCTCTGAACCCGGGAGGAGAGTTGATGGAACCTTCCCACAGTCCCCCGGGGTCACGGGACACTTACTGCTATCCGCAGGACCGAAGCCTTCACTGAGGTCCATTTGTCCTGTCTTCGATCTATGACAAGGATAAAGCCAATCCCAGCATCTTGTAAACTAAAAGGAAGAGAAGAGAGAGCTGCAGTTAACACACTCAGGCAAGAAGACAGGTGCTTCATTTAATCTCTAAGAAAACATGAAAACAAAATGATTCCTCTTAGAATCCTGATGCCATTTCTGCCTTGCCCGCCAAGGAAGCACACGGGCAGACCATAATGCTTCCATCAGCCTCATTCAGGCAACTTTGGGAACTTGTTCTTATCTAAAGACAGAATTTGCTTTTGGTATATTTGTGTTGTTTACTTCTCAGCCTAACATCAACCATCTCACAATTCAAAGATCCTGGCAAACCCCAGATTTCCTAGAGTTCAGTCAATTGATAATCCATGATCAGAACCAAGCCTTCTCTGGTTGATCAGACGATTAAACCCTCCAAAACAAGTTTTATGATCCATACATCACATTAGTCCTAGCATCTGAGGTTCCCGAGTTCTTCCATGTTAAAAAACGGCTCTTGCTGGCATTGCTACAACAACTTTGGGAAAAAATCCCTGAGGCTTCCGTAGGCTCACAAGCATCTGTCGGAAATGAGATGAAAGATAAAGCTCTTTGCAGCAGCCACATCTGTGATAAAGATAACACTTTTGTTGTATAATGATGACCTCCGTCCCTCAGCTCAGCTCAGCGGCAGGAGCCTGAGTCACAGTCTAGAAAGGAAGAGATCTGCTTCCGTTGGGTAATTTCACATCCAAACCAATTGTGTAATGCCAGCAGCCGTCTGCCAGCCAATCCAAGGCAGAAATCAAGGAGGCAGGCAAGCCTCAATGCACTGACTTGAATCGTTAATTTCCAAAGCTCTGAGAGAGCCACTTCTGGGCTTAAATGCAAATCAGAATGACAAAGAACATATATAAATTATGCCATCTGTGACGGTGTGCTGCAAACATTATATAATAAAGCTAGAGTGATCGTGTTGAAGATCCTGACTCTCAGATTTAATGATGTGACCGTCATCGAGACAACACACCTCTGTGTGGATGTGCCCTGTTGGTGCTGTATCCTGGTGCATATTTGGTAATGAATGACTCCAAATGTTTATAGCAATTTGATTCAGTAACAGCAAAACACTTCTGGGGAAGAAGTGCACATGTAAACATCAGCTTTCATTCAAAACAGCCTCTCTGGGCTTGGTAGAGTACACGCCTGCAAACAGTGAGAGTTCAGTGATTCAATGATTGAATTTCATAGCTGGATGGGGTGGTGCTAACGGACGTGCCTTGTGATCTGGCTTAGATATTAGGGAGTTAAGATGTTGTTGGTTTTTCTAAGTCTTGCTTTTATACTTTCTTATTCATTACTTAGGAGCTCAGGTAGCATAGTGCTTACGAATCGGCCTGCTAACCTCAGTGTCAGCAGTTTGAAACTTCCAGGTGTTCCGTGGGAGAAAGATGAGGCTTTCTGCTCCCGTAAAGATTTACAGCCTCAGAAACCCTGTACAGGGTCGCTATGGGTTGGAACCGACTCCACATAACAACAACAAATTCATTATTTGGGAGTCCTGGTGTAGCACTGTGGGTTAATGCATCAGACTGCAAAATCGGTTTGAACTGCAAGGTTGGTGGTTCAAGCTCAACAGCTCCTCCTCGGAACCAACTCGACGGCACTTAACAACAACAATTTATTACTTGGAGTCCTGGTGTAGCGCTAGTAGGATATGCACTGGACTGCTAACTACGGGTCTGTAGTTCAAGCCAACCATCCGCTCCCATAAATATTTATGGACTCGGAAATCCAATACAAAATGGACTTGATGACAGTGAATTTGGTTTATTTGCTTTTCTATTTTGAGCACTTTGACATTAAAAAAAAATGTGTCTATACAGTATGTATGTTCTTGTTAAGTGTCGTCAAGTCAGTTCCGACTCACAACGACCCTGTGTAGTGTTTCCAAGGAGCGGCTGGTGGGTTTGAACTGCCAACCTTGTGGTTAGCAGTCCAATGCTGACCCTACAGCGCCACACCAGAGTCCATTTAGAGACAAAAGATCCTGTTAAGTTCTCCCAAATCAGTCCATGTTTCTCCTGCAAAGTACTGTGCACATCAGGTTTTTCTGCAAATTAACTGCTTAATGTCTGGTTCATCACCTGAGTTGAAATATCAGGAACACAGGGTTCACATCTGTCTTGCCCCCCATTGTTTCTCCAGTGCCCCATCCAAGGCTCTGTTGGTCAGCCTGCCTGGGGAACTGAGTTTGGCTGTGTGGTCAGGGCTACCGATAACGTTTCCCCAGGCTCTCTTCTGCCCTGGTTTCAGGACAGGATGACCGAAGGTTTTCTTCTATGTGGCGCCAGGCAGGTTTTCACTTAAGCTGCTACAGCTCTTGTCATTGTTGTTGTTAGATGCTGTTGAGTTCAGTTCTGACTCACAGTGACCCACTGCACAGCAGAACAAAACACTTCTGGCCCGAGGACCATCAAGGGAGAAGAGCAGAGAGCGGGACCCTACCCAGAGAAGCAGTGATGCCTGAAATGGAGCCAGAGATGATGACGTGGAGCGATGGAGCAGCTGGAGACTTTGGATCCAGAGAGGGAGAGCGACTGTGTGCTGAAGATCTAGGGGGGAATGGGGGAAGAATTGCATGGAGGGGATTGTAACCATGGCAATGAGAGACAATATACGATAGAATGAATGTAAAACTAATGTTCTCCCATGTAAACTGTCACATAATTCACAGTAAATCATTAAAAAAAAAACCACTTCCGGGTTCTGCGTCACCTTTACAATAGTTACGCTTGAGCCCACTGCTGCTGCCATGGTGCCAATCCATCTCCTTGGGGAAGTTTCTCTTTTTTGCTGATGCTTCATTTTTATCAAGCATTATGTCCTTCTCAAGTGACTGGTCCTTCCTGATAATATGTCCAAAGTATGAGAGATGAAGTCTTGTCATCGTGACTACCAAGGAACCTTCTGGCTGTCCTTCATCTAATACAGATCTGTTGTCCTTCTGACTGTCTGTAGTACTTTTAATATTCTTCTCCAGCACCATAATTCAAATGCATCAATGCTTCTGTGAGCTTCCGTATTCACTGTCTAACTTTCATAGGTTGTGAGGCGACTGAAAACACCACAGCTTCTGGTAGGCTCGCCTTAGGCCACAAACTGACATCTTTGCTCTTGAACACTTTACACACTTTAAAGAGGTCTTGTGCAGCACATTTCCCCAATGCAATATGTCATTTGATTTCTTGACTGCTGCTTCCATGAGCGTTGATTGTGGATCCAAGCAAAATGACCACCAACTCTGTGACTTCAGCTTTAGTCCCATGAACCAGGGCTCAGTTTGGGACCCAAGGCCTGGACAGGGAAGAAGGGACATTTCAGGGTATCTGTGTGGAACTCTGTCCAATGACAGGTGTGCCACTGGGTGGGAACTACCCCTTTCCTCCACATGCTGTCTTTGGAGAGGTACCAAGTGATGGGATATTTCTCAGACAATGCAAACTATCAACAGGTTCACTACAAGTCAGCTTGTTCTCTTGGTAGCCAAGGAGTCCAGGAAGACTATGAGTAAGACGTTTCTGTACTACCCTGCAGGTAATCTGATTCCGCCTTCCTGAGCAAGTCGAAGCCTGGACCTCAGTCTCGATGTGGATCTGACTTTTCCTATAGTGAGAGAGGGAGCTGTCATGTTTGGAATGAGCACATCACCATCAGACCAAGAGAATTCAAGAAAGGAAAGATCTGAGAAATGTTCCTACAGGGTCACTCCACAAGGTTTGCTTAAAAAAAAAAAAAAAAAAAATCTGTTGCCAAGGAAACGCGTGCAAGGCAGTGTGAAGATCGTACTGCGTTTTTGTGAGGAGACAATGCGTTTGGTGCTCACAGCAGGGATTCTAGGACCAGCTTCCTCAGCAGTGTCATCTTGGACAAGTGACTCAGCCTTTAATTGTCTCATTTTTTATTTCTGCACAAATAGGAATATTAATAGCTGCTACGTCATGGAATGGTTATGGGAGTTCAATGAGTTGCCATGGATAAAGACTTGAGACGCGTTGGATCCACTGGGCGCTATTATTACTGGTACTGTTCCTGCTTGTCTGTTTTGCAGAGCAGTAAAACCTCACTCTGTCTCTCCCCTTTGCCCTGAAAGAAAGCTTTGATTATGATGGAAACTCAGTCTCGTACTGAAAACGATTATCTGGCTGGAAAAGTCTCGCCACCCTTCTACAACAGGACAGGGAGTTAATTGGCTTCAGAACACATCATCCTCATTCATTTGAACCCAGACTGCTCTGTGTGTTGCCTAGACTGACTCGATTTTTGCTGTAGAGCTTCGACAACCCTACTGGCCTGACTGCCCACAGCACATCTCTGTACTGCCCACATCTTCACGTCATTCCTATCACAAGAAGTCTTCCGTGCCAGCACTGCATTTGTATACATTTGTTCTAACATTGTGGTGTGGCGCTGTAGGATCAGCACTGGACTGTGAACCACAAGGTTAGCAGTTCAAACCCACCAGTCTCTCCTCAGAAACCCTATCCAGGGTCGCTATGAGTCTGAACCGACTCCACAGCATTTAACAACAACAACAACAACAACAACATTCAAACACTGTATAAGCAGTGAGTCCGTTGCCATGTCACTAAAAGAAAAAGGAAGTTCTTGATCGTGAGGACTTGACAATCTAGAGAGAGCTTTCTGGACTTCAGTCAGCACACACACTTCCACATTTACCCCACCTCTCCTACTAGTCCCTTAAGAGTTCCTTGAATTAACTCTTTCTTAACATCCAGATAGCTTTATGTTTCAAAAGGAGTCTCTACATTATGATTGTAGTTGAACCCCAATACCACAAGTAGGCATTTGTAAAAATGAATACAAAATGAAAACAGTGCAGATGCCCACATACCACAGAGCTCTGCCTGATACCTTGACACCTGGGCAAGTCAGACCCCCTGCAAGACTCCTCAGTGGCCCCTCCAGCTTGGGGGCCAACTCATCCATACTTACCTACAGCCTCCTCTCCCACCACATTTTGGGCAAACTGACCCAGA